CCTTCTACAGAAACCCAAGGGTGAAAGAAGAAGGAACTGGCTAGTGAGTGTGGAGGCTGTGAGCCTGGTGAGGGCTGTGTCTTGTCCTGATATGGCCACAGAATGGGGTTGGAGCATGCATTTAGCGCCTGAAGCACAGGCGACCTCCCAAATCTACTAGATGAGTTGGAGTGAGCCAAATTCTTGACAAATCTGCGTGGTGCCAAAGCAGCAGTGAGGAGCAGAAGCAACAGTTAAAATACCCTACTCTCCGATATGTTTTCTTATTTGTTTCACCAATGAAGGTACCCACTAGCCAATTTCACTTTGAAATCTTTTGCAGAACACACGCGTGAATGTACACTGTCATGCCAACAGGCCTGCCTTTACACAGAAAGATTTCAAAACACATTGCCTAAGTATTTTCAAACCCCACTACCTCGTCTAAGAGTCTACATTCCGAGTCAACAGGACTTAAATGCATCTAGATTTTCACAGTTTGTATTTAAGAATCATTTCAACCACAAGAGGATAGTAAACTCCGGAATGAAACATAGTAGCATCTGAGGACAACATAACATTATAAAATATACTAGGGTAAGAAAACAAAGAATACTTCATTCGGTCAAATTTACAGAAGGATTTGAGAAAGGATCACATCGCTAACTCAGAACTTCACCAGAACAAAGCTGAGTGTTCTCTTCTACATCTCCGAATATTACCACGCAGCATAAACAGGCAGTTCATTTTCTTGTCTCATCACAAGGAGAGCAGCCCTTGTCAGTACACTTCAAGGGAAAAATGCCATTGCCTGGATCTAAGCTATTTGTTGTTGAAAGAGCCAGAGCTCTTTCACTACAAAATATGCGGGTCAGCTATTATACTTGACTGCGGGCTCCCATACTACACCCTATTTCACTGCCCATATTGACTCCTTATAAAAACTAACTTCCAGGTTAGGTGCAACTTTTTAATGCATTCCTTCTGTAACTATATTTTTGTTTGTATAAAAGCTGAGCTACTTACGCTCAAACTGTGGGCATCTGCAAGTTCATAACGACTATACATAGAACTATTCCAAGTGCACATAGATACCTAAGTACCTGTTCATGGAAAACGTGCAAATGAAAAATTTCTTTTTCAGATTAAGTGACTGCGTTAATATTGCAGCACACACCTTACTAACACCCTACTAACTTCTTTTTTGATGACCTTGTTGACAATTCTGTCTGCTGTCTCTTGGAGGCAGTCCAAGTTGCTGAGCCTTTGCTCTAGAGCAATGGTGCCCTCACTGCCAGGGAACACTAACATCGGGGTGGAGGTGCCACGGACTCAGCTCACGAGCATTTTCAGGCTTAGTAGGGCAGGGTTGAGCACTAGTGCGTTAGAGCTGGTGAGGTAAGGTATATGTGAGGTGGAGACAGAACAAGAAACAGCCATAGCTTAATAGGAAGCAAGTGAAGATCCAAAAAGACGAAGAGGTAGCAGGCGGTAACGAGGAGCTACAAAGACAATAGCAGGGATCTGTGGGCAATGAAGAAGCCAGAAGAATTTAAGAGGCTGAGGAAACAGTAGGTAGAGACTAGGAGGCAGAGGTGCGGTGCAGAGGAGGACTGATAGAAACAGTGGTGTCAAGAAAGACTGAGAAATTGTTTTAACTATATCTACACTACCATATGTATAACTCTTACTACAATAGGTAAATTCTGAATTTTTCAAATCATTCACTACTGAAAACTCACAGACTGGACGTCCAATACTGTTCTTAACATTGGGGATGACAACAGAGTAAGCAGGTGACTGGAAGGGACAAAAGCCAGCTGGATTTGTAGCGATGATACTCTGAGAAGTGCCGGAAAATACAGCAGAGACAGGCAGTGGAAAACGCTTCCTTTTGCCTGGTCGTGGTTGATAAACCCAACCTGTCAGAGATGACAAAAGATGCAGACAGACGATTTTGGGGATGGTCTCATTCTTTACGGAAAGCTATGATATCTGTAATTCTGAAGTGTCTAAAAAAATGAGTCCAAAACTTGCTCCTCTAGTCAATGGCAATACTCCATTTGTTTCAGTGAGCTGGCAAATGGGGCGTTTTATCAGAGGTGGAAATAAAATGGGAATGTTTGGGCATTGTTGTCACGTTACTAAATAGTAACTGTGAGACAAAGAAATACAGAACAGTGGGGAGTGACGTGGCACAGCTGAGGGAAGCACATTAAGGAGAACATGCCAGAATACAGTGCCGTTTGTGCTTCCTGTGGCATTGCCCTTTCCTGCTTTTAAGGAATGGATGCATGTGGCACCACAGGCCACCTGAACAGCTCTTTCTGTTATATTTCTAATATATATATTATATATATATATTCTGTTATATATATAATAAAGCAGCAGGCCATGCTCACAATAAACTCACTAGCTGGCCATTAGACTACTAAAGCATTCAGACGAGCTGCTGTAGCTGCGGTGGTCTAAGACCATAAGAAACATTAGAGGCTATGAAGGGTGAAACATAATTTTGGATGTTTAAAAAATTCATATGCTTTCAGGCACTAGAAAGCTGACAGAAGGACTGCGTGCTTGAAATTTTTGTAATTTTTTTCTGACTGTATTACTTGCTTTAATGAAAGAGGTCCGTTTATCAAAAAATCTTGCAGTTCTACAGCATTCAGGTAAATAAATACGTTTACCAGGAAATTCCTCTCGGTGCCTTTGTTTTATTTTCTGAGCTTCATCATAATAGGGCTGCTTCTGCTCTTCAGTCAGTTTGCTCCACTCCAATCCAAGCTGAACACTGATTTCTGCATTATTGGCAGCTGGGTTAGCTTTTGCTAGGGCGGGCCGATGGATCCTGGCCCACACCATAAATGCGTTCATCGGACGCTTTACATGGCCACTTTTGTCCTTGCTAAATGGAGTATCTGGCATACCTACGCAACAAAACGAGGAAAGACGATCATCTTCCAGGCAATATATGCAATACAGGTTACATTCAAAAGTATATCCAGAGGATATTTGGCAACAGTCAAAAGAATCACTCGAGCTTTGGAACACATGAAACGACGCACATTTGGAGAGCAGTTCCTAGAAAAACAACTAAGGCTAAGGGAGTATCCTCCCCTAACCTTCACCGAGCCACTGCATAAGGAATCATTTACCTGGCTTTTGTTACATACTATTAAAAAAAAACCAAAAAACAAAACACATATGGGACTGCTAACACACTGGTTTGGATTTCATTTGGCTAGATTGTTTTCTTATGAATTTATAAACTAAACATTGTATAGCATAGACCATATTACTGCCAATTTGTCGTCACCACCAGAACTGAGTATCCAAAGGCCTAGCGATGCAGGGACCTGATCTAACGACGGTATGGCGGTTTAGTCCCACACCCGTGCAGTCCCTGGCTTCTCAGCTGAGGTTGTTGCTGTTCTGGGTTTCTGGTTGGGTTTTTTTTTTTCCTCACTCTTTTCTCAGATTTTGCTGGAGGAACATGTGTTACCAAATGACTGTTACATGACACCCAGCTTTGGCTCTTTGTAAACACAGACTGCATTTAAATTGAGCCGGTGACATGATAAGAACCCCCAGAGCCCTCACAACTGATCCCCGAGCTAGCAATTTCCTCCCTGAAAAAGGCTAAGAAATGAACTCTTTCACATTATCAATAAAGGGCAAAAGCCTTCTAGTCTTTAAGACCCCACGTCAAGTCATTAATTTTGAAAGCCTAGATATCTCTCAAAAAAAGTAAGCTTCTAATTTAGATGTTTCAAAATGTTCCTCATTTAAGATGTCCAGATTTTCTGAGAGGTGTATGAATGCTTCACAGCTTTAAAAATCAAGCTGATTCCTGACCTTAAACTTGCAATCACAACTCAATGCAATTCCGAACACTGTTGTAAGGGGTTTAAGGTAGTCAGGGAGGAAGTGGACAAAACTGCATTGATTTTAACAAACCACTGGAGAACTCTCTGCTCCCGTATTTTTACGTCTGACGCTGAAGAAGAGAGTTGTACAACCTCCCGTCCATCCAGAGGGATGGTTCGCTAACACGACCTTTCCAGGGGTGTCCTCCTATCTGATAACCTGTCAGCTGCGTGCCACTTACTGAACCCTTCCAAGCTCTCTTAACATAATACCTGAGTCGGAGGGCAGTACTGTGAGGGGAACATTTTTGGTTTCAATCTTTACTGAAGGCTCCAGTAAAGACTGCATTTTAAGCGGCACTTGTTTCGCCGGCACTTTAGCCACATGGATCAGCTCTGACGGCAGAGGGCCTTGGATCTGTAAGCGGGTCCCAGGAGGTAAGGGGTGAAACACAACTGGGATCTTCAGATCTTCAGGGAGGATCCCCAACCCCTCGCACCGCTGCGCCTTGCGGTCATCGGTGCTGGCATGAGCAGGCCCACACAGGGGGCCAGCCGGGGCATCGCCCTTTTCCATCTTCACCCTGCAGGCCTCAACGGCCGGGTCAGGCGGCTCCGCTTTGACAGCGCCTCCTCTCCAGGGCTCCTTCCCATTCCCCCTCTTCTCCAGCACCTTCACCTCGCTCTGGCTTTCCCCGCTGCCCTTGTCATAGTCCCTTTCTCTCTTGATGGCGCCGCGGGCCTCCTCTTTACCCCCCCACAGAGCTGGGGAGCCCCTGAACTCGTCGCCGCGGCAGGCCGGGGGATCTCTCCCCTCCGGCTCGGGCTCCTCCACTTTGATGTGCAGCACCCTGAGGGGGACCTTGGCCTCCCCCTGCCGAGGGGC